AGCCAAAAACCACGATTCTCTCAACAGATGCAGAGAAGGCCTTCGATAAAATTCAACCCTGCTTCATGGTTAAACTCAATAAACCAGAGATTGATGGAATGTATCTCAAAATGAATAATAAGAGCTATTTATGACAAACCCACTGCCAATATCATACTGAATGGGCAAAAACTGGAAAACCAAAGAAATTCTCTTTGAAAACCAGCAAAGGATGAGGATGCCCTTTCTCACCACTCCTATTCAACATAATGTCGAAAGTTCTGGCCGGGGCAATCAGGCAAGAAAAAGAAGTAAAGGGTATTCAGATAGGAAGAGAGGAAGTCAAATTGTCTCTGTTTGCAGGTGATATGATTATATATTTAGAAAACTCCATCATCTCAGCCCAAAATCTCCTTAAGTTGATAAGCAACTTCAGCAAAGTTTCAGGATACAAAATCAGTGTGCATAAATCACAAGCATTCCTATACACCAATAACAGCCAAACAGAGAGCCAAATCATGAGTGAACTCTCATTCACAATTGCTATAAAGAGAATAAAATACCTAGGAATACAACTTACAAGGGATGTGAAGGACTTCTTCAAGGAGAACTACAAATGTACCACGGAGCAACTTTTTATGTGCTTATTATTCATTTGTATATCTTTTGTGAAATATCTATTCATATTTTTCCAATTTTTATTTTTGTAATTTGCTGTTTTTATTGAGTTAGAAGAGAAGTTTTGGAGACAAATTCTTTATTAGATACATGATTTGCAAAGATTTTCTATTTTATGACTTGACTTCATTTTCTTAAGTTTTTAATTTTGATAAATTCAGTTAACTTTTTTTTTGGTATAGATTCTGTTTCTGGTATCAAATTTAAGAAAACTTGCCTCATCCAAGGTCATAGAAATTTTCCCCTTTGTTTTCTTCTTGAGCAGGTTTCAGCAAACTGTAGCCTGTAAATCCCATCTGGCCCACAGCCTACTTTTGTAAATAAAGTTTGATTTAAACATAGCCAATTTCTGTATTTACATACTGTCTGTGTCTGCTTTCTCTCTACCTGAACTGTTAAACAGTTGCTATACTGTATCGCCCAGAAAACCTGAAATACTTAATGGCCCATTTCAAAAGATGTTTGTTGACCCCTGCTCTAGAAGTGTTACAGTTTTAGCTCTTGTAGTTCTAGGATCCAGTTTTAGTTAATTTTTGTATATGGTCTGAGTCAGAGAGACAAGTTCATTATTACTTTTATTTTTATCTTTATTTTGCTGTGTGGATATACAGTTGTACCATTTGTTGAAAACTCTCCTGTATGTAATGTGTTACTTTTTTCTGGCTGCTTTCAAGGTTTTCTTCTTCTGTTTTTAACTGTTCGATTCTGATATATCTGGGTGAGGATCTCTTTGTGCTTACCTTACTTTGGATTTTTGTTGAATTCCTTAGATCTGTAGGTTAAAATGTTTTTTTCATGAAATTTGGAAAGTTTTCAGCAGTTATTTCTTCTAATATTTTTACTGTTCCCTCTCCTGAGCTCCCATTATATGCATGCTGGTATGCTTGATGTTGTTTACAAGTCTCCAGTCCTCAGTTCTTTTTCTCTGTACTGATTAATTTCTTCTTCTGTAATTTCACAGACTGCTTCTTATGTAATATCAAATCTGCTCTTCAGACCATCTATTGAACTCAAGTGAATTTTTTATTTGTTACTATTCAGCTCTAAAATTTCCGCTTGGTTCTTTTTAATAGTTTGCATTTCTTTGTTGATATTCCCAATTTGTGTAGTTATATCATCATAACTTTGAGCATGGCTTCCTGTAATTCTTCAAATATATTTATAGTAACTTGGTTGAAGTTTTTGTCTGCTAAATCCAATATTTGCTCTTACTCAGATACATCTTCTGCTGGCTGCTTATTTTTCCCCCCGAATATGGGTCATAGTTTGCTGTTTCTTTGTATGACTTACAATTTTTCTTGAAACTGTACGTTTTGTTTAGTATGTTATAGTAACTTTGGATTCTGTTTTTATTCTTTTTTTCCCCCTTGCACGTTGTATTTATTTATTCATTTAGTAACTTTCACGGACTTCAGCTGCAGTCTCTCCCCCACTATGTGTAGCTAATTTTATGTGTCCCCAGCTTTTAAAAGTTTTTAATGTTAAGGTTGGTTTTGTGTGGTTCCCACTTGCAATTGCATAATTTAGTGCTTAGCTAATTATTGGTTGAATACTGTACCTAAACATCTTGAGCCACTAAGGCTTTCACCCTCTGATGGGAGACTGTATAGAAGGTGTGATGGGAGGATCACTTGGGCTCAGAGTGTGAAGCTAGCCTGGGCAACATGGTGAGACCCTGTTTAAAAATCAACTAAGTATAGTCTGTTTTCATGTTTCTCTCATTTACTTTTTACTGTGTTTTTGACCTAAGACCCTGTGTGTGCACTCAAATTTTCTGTTAGCCAGGGGTATGTGGAGAGCTAGGTCTTTCAGGTTTCCAGCTTCCCCTGTGCATACACTGCCAGTCCCTCAGTTGTCCTGCATTTTGTGTGGAATTCAGCACCTTATGGGGCTCCCCTGTACATGTGCACAGTCTCCTAGTCAACCAGTGTTGTGTGGAGGGCATAGGCTATCTGTTTAGGATAGGCGGAAAATTTATCAAGTCTCTCCGTGGCTTTTCCATTTCCAGGATCTTTCTATTAAATTTTTAGCTAGTCTTCAGTTTTCTGGCTCACCCCGACAACAGCAATCTTGGGCTAGGAAATCTGCAAGCTTTTCTGTTTCCTACTGAATGTGGGTTTTCTACCCTGTGCTCCAAATCAAAGTCATCCCCTTTTTGCAATGAAGGTGCTGGTTTCTTGATGTAACTTTTACCTCAGTGGAGCTGGGGTAGGGGATGGAGGCAGCTCCTGGTAAGATGCCAGATTTCCACTGTTGTTACCAAGAAGCTCTGTAGGTTTTCCTGAATACGCTTCCATCATTGTGGGTTTTTTGTTTTGTTTTGTTTTGCCTTTGGTTGATTTCCATAGCACAAAGATGGTTGTTTTTGATGCTTTTATTCAGTTTTATAATTACTTTTTGGAATGAGATTTTGTATTCCTTTACTGAAAAGTTCTACTTCAGCTCTTGGATTTTAAATCCTACTAGTATTACATTTCAAAGCTAAGTGGTCTTTTCTCTAATTAGAACAAGTAATTTTTTAAAAAGAGAGATGACAGAGGGGTGGATGAATGAGCCTCGATTCAAATCCTAGGTTTCTACAGAGGGCAGAGTTTTATATCTCCTTATAGATTTGCAAGCTCAAACTGAGGTTAATTGAAGGGATTAATGGCTCTTGTGGAGAGTAGACATGTGTTGTTTATTCAGAGTAAGCCAACTATTGTGACAACGTACCTTTCCTATAGTGTTCTTCGGTGCATAACAATTTTATGAGATAAGTATTGTAATTATGATCATTTTGCAGATAAGGAAATATATTTGCAAGTTGGGAACTTACCTATGCTCTAAACGTTTGTATGTGGTGGGGATGGCTCTTGAACGCATTTCTTCTGGTTTCTCCCTGTTCTTTATATTCTGTATAACTGCTTCCCAGTCATATCATAATTACTTGCAGACTCTTTGATGGTCTTAATGTATTTTTTTATGTAGTTAGTAGTTGAGGTTAGAATAATTAATTCTTTTCTTTCAATTGATAATCACTCTTAACTAATTGGAGAGCCCCATTCAGTCAGGCAGTTATTTAGCAAACTGGTAAGAGTTAGAGCAAGAGTTCCTGTGGCAGCTTCCTCTGCCAGCTTCCTTTTTTTCTCTTACTCCCTAGATGCAGATTCTGCCCAAGAAGCCCCTGCATTGCAGAGGGACTGGAGATCTGTATGATCTGTTTATTTCGCAATTGACAGGGTAAGGGGGCCTTATGGGGGAGGTGCTCGGGTGCCCTAAATTTAGCTTTATGCAGCTGGGCTAACATTTATTTGGTGATTACTTAAACTTAATATTTTTAAAAACTTTTATGAATTTTGTTTTTCCTACATCAGTTAAGTGCCAGATTATCATATTAAAAAGCATTTATTGTAATGGCGATTGTTTTTAAAAGGTTCTGTTCAGAACAACTCAGACAAACATGATTCATGCTTCAAAACTATCAAGTCTGGGATCATTTAGAATATACATCACTGAATATATATAAGTAAAATTTCATGACAATAACATTTTAAAAAAAAGGTTTTGAGTGAGCATCTGTTTCTATAGCTCATCGTAGTTATTCTTTATTAATCTACCTTGTTTCTTTTCCATGAGTCTGTCAATCTGTAGAGTGAAAAAGGGACTTGCGGATATGCCATAAACATTGTGGGTGGGTGTGGTGTCTTTTTCTTGCTGCTAGAAATTAATACTTACTTCCTTTAATTCTTTGTCTACCCTAGATGCCAATGATACTTGAGTTGTATATTCAGACTGTCTTGTATCTGATCATTAGAATAAATCTAAAAGTGCAGTTGATGAATCTTACGGGAGCCAAGATTAAGTTTTGTAGGTCTTAGTTGGCAGGTTTATAGAACAAGTGCCAGAAATGATGGTTTTTATAATAGCATAGAACTAAAATAGGTGAGGAAGAGTTTAAGGCTCTTTTAAAATCACAGAAGGATTTGGCAGTTAACTGTAGCCTTGATGAATATCTGAAAAGAATTGAGTTGGTGCTGTTGTGATAGGCTTTTTTTTTTTTTTCCAAGATATTATTATACCTGGTAGTAAAATAGCTTTGTTTACCTAAAGTAGTAATATGCATTTCTGTAGTTTAAATGGTTATTTTTAGTGTTCTGTATGTCTCATTTTTAATCGTACCCTCGTACCCTTTAAGCATTTAATTTACGGATTTTAAGAATTCAACAATAATATTATGTATGTTATCCTTATCACTATTAATAAATATTCCACTGTCTAATGCCAACACAGTTGGAAAAGTATTTTTATTCTTAAGCATCTTAAATGACTTTTTTTTTTTTTTTTTTTTGTCTGTTTTCTTTAAGCCATAAGGATGAGTTTACCATTATTCCTGTACTGGTTGGAGCTCTGAGTGAGTCAAAAGAACAGGAATTCGGAAAACTCTTCAGTAAATATCTAGCGGATCCTAGTAATCTCTTTGTGGTTTCTTCTGATTTCTGCCATTGGGGTAAGTTCTAGCTTTTAACATATCATGGTAGATATTATATACTTCTGGTTAAAGGTATCTTTTCATTCTGAGTTCTGATTTTCAATTCTTTATCACTTTCCTTGGAAAGTTTTACTTCTGGCAGCAGTGTTTAAAAGTAAATAAAAAATCTTTTGATCCTTTAAAAAGGATCAGATTACAATAGTGGATTATGGGTACATTTCCAAAGGCGACTGGTATAATTGGATTCACACTGTGAAGGCATCCTTGCTTAGACACTTATTTAGTGGGAGTTAAGATCTTTTTAAACCTCATTTCCAGGTAAGTGTGTATGGTAGATTTTCTGAAGTTAGTTGTGGTGGATAAATCCAATGTTCTTTAGGATACAGAAGAGCACTGTGTGCTATGCCAGTCCTTTTCCACATTTCCTTTTTTGTAATTAGTCTTTCTTTTTTTACCTTTGGTGCTTAGTTTTTGCTCACAATTGCTATCAGTTTAAAACTACCCTCCAAAGATTATAACACTGTGGACTTCATTGGTAATGCTTTTATAAGGGTAAGGATTCTTGAGTAGTTTTTATAATTATTGTGAATTAGAGTCAGGATGCTTCACAGTGAATACACCGTAAGAGAAGTGAGGTGTTTGTGGATGCCTCTTTTAGTAAACTTGGCTTTTACAATCTTCGGCTGCAGTTTGCTTTCCTTTATCCATTACTGTCCTAGAATATTTCTAAAGTTTTGTTCCTTTTAGGACATCTCTTTGACCTATTAATTTATTGGTTTAAGATGCCAATATCTGTTCATTTGTCAGTTATTTCTTTGACCATAACGAAACCTAAAGACCGTAATAAGATAACAATGCTAGGATAGCCAGAAAAACATCTTCAGTGAAATATAGGGAGCCCATTATATGTCTTACCCAATATATGTCTTTCCCATTGATTGCCAGAATTAATTCAAAATTTATCTGGCCTGGTTTGGCTGTTGTCTTCTCTTGCTTCTTTCTCTGAATGGTCTTTTCAAAGTTGAGATCTCAGTTCAAGAGCACTATCTTTCATAATGGTACAGATTTGTTTTTTGCGTAAGGTACTTATCCTCACCTGGGAGTGATTTTACTCTCAGGGGCGTTTCAAAATGTCTGAAGACATTTTTGTTCACTACAGCTGGGATATGGTTTGGAGGGTGGCAATACTAATGGTATCTAATGAGTAGAGTCCAGGGTAGCTGCTAAACAAACATCCTATAATGACACAGGACAGCTCCCACATCAGAGAATAACCTGGCCCAAAATGTCAGCAGTGCTGAGGTTAGGAAACCTAGATTTTTTAGGGTATGCAGGTAGTTGTGCTTCCTTTCTAACCCTCAAAGAAGCTCTCAGCGTTCTTCTTATTTTTTTAAAATCTACTTTTAATATTCAGGGTTCTTTACTTACTGATTCTATTGGTTAGCTGGTATTCTACCTTTGGCAGAAGTTATAGTTTATGGATATAAGTATACTACTTGGACATGAAGACTAAGTAGATGCTTAAAAGGAGTTCCTTTCTGTGGAATTTTGAAATTTAGTAATAGGTGATCTTGGAAACTTAAGTATCATTACTGCGAAACAGGGTGTTTTCCTTAATATTGTGAATTTGTGTTGGTAGCAAAGCATGTCCGTATGTTTTGAAAATTAAAATTCTTGAAGCAAGTGCCCTGTACCCCCTTCATTTTTAAGGCTCTTATGAATCACTTGATTTAAATAATTATTTCCCTTGATACTATTTTTCAGAACCTGGGCTTTCTCTCTAGGTTGGCAACTTGTGTAACCATAACATAAATTCACATAAAATATCAGTAAACATCTCAATATTGCTCTTTTCTGTGGAATCATCCTTTTTAACCTCATTAATAAAGAATGCCAAAGCAAGCACAGCCTAGTCCACTGCTATATGTAACTGCAATGGCTGAGAGAGAAAAGTAAATTTGTTTTACCTTCTACCTAGATTCTCAGAAAATTATTGAGATTGTTTTGTCTCCTGATTTCTTGAAAATGTTGGTATCTAAATTGTAAGATAGGATTTCCAGGTGATAGCTACAAAAAAGAAGTAAAGAATTTTAAAGATTCATAAATAAAAGTTGTAAGAATTATCCAGAGACTAAAACATTTTTATATTTTGTTTGGTGGTTAAGTAATAGAACTGTTCAGGTGTTGAATTTTTAGTATCACTATCATTACTAATACTTATTAAATGTTTTCTTTGTACTTATGGAAAGCACTGTGCTACTCCTTACTGAGAAATATGTTGGGGTTTTGGGGATAAGTGAAAAGTGTAACATAGATAATATTCCAAAACTGATAGTCTTCTCACTACCATAGTAATTCTTGTAAAATAAGATACCTTTTTTCTTTTGCATACCTACTGAAGTAATATGAATTATTGACCAGTTATGGGTGAAGCTATCTTAAGAGTTAGGTTTCATGTTTCTCACATTCATACTGTATTGGCGCTGGGGATCTTTCCTAAATTAGTAAGTGTGCCATATTACCATCTTAAAAATTCAGCTTTTTCTTATGAAGATAATACTTAATGGTTTTTCTTCCTATTTAAAGAGATACTATACAGATTGATTTTTATTATATAAAAGCAATCATAACACTAAATTCTAAATAATTTCACAGGAGGGATTCAGTACCTCATGCAGAGGTTTTAAATGGTTCATTGAGTTTCCTCTTAACACACTCTATATTTATAAATACCTAATTTTTGGGGAAAAGTAATTTATGATAGTACACTTGAAAAATTACTCAGATATACACAGTAGAGGTTTCTTTGTTTTGATTATTAGATTACTGGCATTGACTACATTTTTCACTTCTAGTCATTGGTTCTTTTTTTATGGTGTCTACCTTTTGCAGAAAGTAAAGTGAAAACCGTGGTGATAGACACATTTCAGATTCTTATGTGTAAATTGGAAAGACTTTTCTTGTTGACCTTATTTGTTAGCCAATATTCTTTATAAAAATGATTTATTTTCTTAAATTTATTTTACCCTAAAGATGTTCATTTTTCAGATGCTTTGTAGTTTTTATTTAGACTTGAAAAGAGACATTAGAGAGAGAAAGGTAGAAATACTGAAGTGTACTCTCAGGTTTTTTTTTCTGGTTGAGGTAAGCCAAGGGAGAGACAGAAATCTAGATTCCATTATCCTCCTTCTTTCTATCCTCTCATTTGAGTTCTCCAAAAGAAACCCTGCATTTCAGTTCTTGCTTTGTATTACATCACCAGTCTTGTACATATAGAAATGCCAGGTTATGTTTCTCAGGTAACAAAATAGATAGTTTTACCTCATTTCATCCTTTCTGTTACTAGCAGGAAGTAGAGTAAGTGAAAAGACATTTGCCACTAGTCTGTGTGCTTTACCATGGTTAAGTACATTGTTCCAATACTTCTTGTGCTTATCAAGTTCTATATCCTATTGGATGACTCCGTAGAGAGAATTTTGTCTGAACCTATTTTAAGTTTTCAAATAGTTGAATTTTCATTCTGTTTTCTCAAGTTTCAGTTTTGGCCTTCTTCATATATATGATTGATATTTGTGTTTTCCTGACCTTCTTGAAATTTATATTTCAAAATTTAGATTGTTGGCAGCTTTCAATAACATAACTTTTACTTCTAAGAAGTTCCTAATTGAAATTGGTTTTAACAAAAGTTGATTTTTCAAAAGTGGAGTCATGAGCCTGATATGGTGGTTTGTGCCTGTAGTCTAAGCTACATGGGAGGCTGAGACAGAGGATTACTTGAATTTAGCCTGGACAACAAGTGAGACCCCATCTCTAATAAAATATAAACAAAAAGTGAAGTCATGATTTATTTGATTTGCCTTTTATGGTGTTTTTGCAAATCAGTTTAGATAATTTACTTGGTAAATGTTTATGACATTATATATATATTTAAATATGAGAAGCTTACTGTAGTCTTTTCAGCAGTTTTGAATTTTTATGCATAAATTTATATTTGTCTTTGTTTAGATGACTAGCTTTTTATACATACCTACCACTTATTAAAAGTGGCATTCCCCTAAATATTTATGAAATATATAACTTACTCAGATTTCTTCTTTAATGTATATTAACGTGATTATTCATGCATAGTCTTTCTGTTAGTCTCTTGGGTATAAGGCTGTTGCTATTTTCTAAATAGTTAAATTGGTTTGAGTGTAAGTTAGCTAATTCTTAAAATATACCTTAGACAAGCCATCATATTTGTCTTCTCAAATAATTGCATATACTGATTTTATGTATTTAGTTTTTGACTTTTTGCAGATTTGAGATAAGGCTAATACTTGTATAACTAGGACTTCAGCGTGAAAGCATGATAGTATTTAGCTTTTTAAAGTGATTACCTCATTTGATGCTATTTAGAGAATATTTCCTTTATGAAATACACTTTTTCTTTGGTAGTGATTTCAATTACGAATGTCCCCAGCTTGGGTCCTTAGTATAGAATGGCCTAATAATCTATCTCACAAGGTTGTTGTGAGGTTTAACTCAAATATTGGAAAGTGGTTTAACATATAAACAATGTGATTAAGTAAATGTATGACAGTATAATTTTTAATGGCTATGTGTCTGAAAAAGATCTTACTGACTGATCTCTTGGGGGCTTTATAGATCAACTTTCCAAGGTCATTATTTATTTTTGCAGTTCAGTGCATAGCTTGATGTTGAGGTATTTAATATTCTTATACCTCTTGTTTTAAGGGACTCAAAAAGTAGCACTGGTTCTTGTACCATTCATTGTTATGTTTGTCCTCATTAGTTGATTGTTGTGTGTTAAACAGACATCCCTGGAGCTTATTCTCCACACTCTGTGAATCCACTCATTAATCACCAGTCACCTTTGGAGATGGGAAAATTACTTACCTGTATTTCTTTTTCTCAGAAAGCGTGCTCTGGAATGGATTCACAAATGAGCTACCCTCCTTCCCTCAAAGAGTAAGGTTTCTGCTTTACAGGATTTTTTTCTTGGGTTATTTTTCCTCTCATCTTTTGAATTTGAAAAGAACTGAGGGAAGGCACCTGAAGAAACTACTGACATACTCACTAGGGGAGTTCCAAAGCTTGTGCTGCCCCTAGGGGCAGTGTCAATGGCTCTTAAAGCTAGAAAGCTCATACTTGGAGTTGAAACAGGGGCTCAAAGAATCCATTTTCCCAGTGTACCTTCTGAAAGGATAAGTTTCAGGTAAGTAATTTTCTTTTACTATGTGATACGCTTTATTGATACTTATAAAAGTACAAAAGTCCAGTTCTCCAGGTACATGGACAATTATATTTTTTATAGTTTAGCTTCATAACCTTTACTGAATGTCAGAAACATAAAAACTGATAAAAAAAATTTGCTCATGAGATACATAAAATTATAATTTAAGTCAGTAGTACATTTTTAGTTAAAGGTATATTTATCATCAATTTATAGTGCTTGTGCTATCATTTTCTTTACTATTAAATAAAATTTTGAGACAGTTAACTTTTTAATAATAAAAACTAAAGAATGGTATTTTAAACTCAAGTTTCTAAGTGGTGACTGACTAAAGTTGTGTGTGTGTATGCATGTGTATGTAAATATACACATACATGTAGGTTATGATAGCAACTATTTACTTAAAATTAGATGCTTTCTGTATATATATATTGACCAGAATACATTGCTCAAGTGATTTTTAAATATTTGTATAATTTAAAAAAATTACCATGAGACAATTTGAGCTGTTACAAGTAAAATATTTATTCGGTGTAGTAGCTGTATGTAGTATGGATTTAGCTACTTAGTTGAAACGTTCTTTAGAGCCCTTCAAATATTTACAGTCAGTTTTTCAGTTACTAAATGTGAGGTGGCTACTAAGTAGTAACAAAAAGCAGAGCATTTACTCCCATTGGTTCTCTGTGCATTTTGGCATTCTCATTAAATCCCATGCTGATTCAGTATTTTTAAGTATTTCAAACATTTCCTCTTCTTTTCCTTCAAAACCAGTTTTTAGGTGAAAGTTACACAGAAAATGGTCCATATGAACAAGATAGCAATTTAAAGTATAGACTTTTCACTTAGTGTTAAGGCTTGGTTGACCAACTTCAGCCATTTGGAGCAGCAACTCTTTAACTTGGAATTAGGCATACAAGACTTTTGAGTAGCAAATGACTATCACAGAGTATATGCATTTTTCTCTGCACCTGGGAGTAGCAGTAGTTTATGTGTCAGTCACAAGGCTTACTGATAGTAGCCAGAATGAATAGTTATGTCCAGAAGCAGGGAAAAGAGAATGTATTAGTGTAAACCTAAAGCAGTTCAGGTTCAAAGACAGAGTTGTATACTGCCTTGATTTCCTCCAAGAATATTGTTCTTACTGTAATGACAGTGAGTCGGAATATTCTTGTCTAAGGTGTTCATTTGTTTCAGAAAGATTTGGATAGCTTTCTCAAAATAACTTTGAAATAGAAGTAAAAATTTAGTATCAGTGAATTGAATCGAGAAATTATTATAACTGCACCTTAGATTTGGCACTGAGCAGCCTTCTCACAGCCACCTGGCAATGAGAAAAGCAGTGTCAGGCTGGGCGTGGTGGCTCACGCCTGTAATCTCAGCACTTTGGGAGGCCAAGGCAGGTGGATCACTTGAGGTCAGAAGTTTGAGATCAGCCTGGCCAGCATGGTGAAACCCCGTCTCTATTGAAAATACAAAAATTAGCCAGATGTGGTGGCATATGCTGTAGTCCCAGCTTCTGGGGAGGCTGGAGCAGGAGAATCACTTGAACCCGTGAGGCAGAGGTTGCAGAGAGCCAAGATTACGCTACTGCACTCCAGCCTGGGCAACAGGGTGAGACTCTGTCTCAAAAAAAAAAAAAAAAGAAGAGAAAAATAGTGTTAGTTATATAGTTATTGAGTAATTCTTATTGTTAGTTATATATGAAGTATTAATATATACATTCTTTACAGAAAAATAAGGCTATACATAACTAAATTTTGAAAGAAATGTTTGATGAATTACCAATATAGAGGCATTGAATGATATATTATCATTGTTTAAGAATTTTTTTTTTTAGTTCAAGGACTATAGTTGATCTCATAGCTAAGGTAACATGCAGTAATCTTTATTGTTATATTCAGACAGCAGATACTACTTTAGACCCTATTGCCCAATTAATTCTAGGATATCATCAGTTAAGTTATAAGATGCAATATTGATTGAATAATGGCTCTTGGGAGAGAATAAGGACTGCTACATTGAATAATTATATTACTGTATATGAAAGTTAAAATGTGAAAATTAAGGAAATAATGACATTTTAGAAAAGTGACCATCAAAGGTGATCAGTATCAACAAATGAATGAAGTGTTTAAGTTCTGTGATGTGTGGTTTTTCAAAAAAGGATGTCAAGAAGGATTTTAGAATTTTGCACTGCCCACTATTTACATATATATATTTTTTAGTAAAATGAACAGAAAACTTAAAAATCTTAATTATCCAGCCGAAGAATTCCATGTCCTCAGATGTGAGGGTGGTAGCTGGATATATCAATATTGCTCTAAACGTGAAGCACAGGACACATGATGTGTGTACATGATTTGTGTACTCTAATTCCTTTAGAAATGCATTTTGGTCAATCTTTAACAATAAGGAAATATAAAAGTAATGAGTTCTTAGAAGAAAGGCACTGCTGAAAGATAGATTTAGGTGTATCTGGAATATGTTACAGTCAGTTGAGTAACAATCCATAATTAAGAAGATGTTTAACTTTTGATTTTCATATATCTATAGTAGGAAAAAGAATTTATTTTCTGAGACTTTTGTTTTCTGTCTTTTCTTTAAGCTTCTTCCGTTTTACCCTCTCTGTTCTTTGGAGAATAGCCAAAACATTGAATGTTCTATGCTTATACTCTTATTGAGATTTTATGTCAGGGTAGGAATATTATATTTATGTTATGTTTACCCTTTTGTGTATACTATTCACATTGCATAAGGCACTTGTATTGATCCTTTTCCAAGTAGTACAAAAACGAGATAAATTTTTAAAAATTTGCATCTTAAAAATCACACAAGTCACAGTATTTGTGACCTATACAATTTTTTTTTCCTGTAAGAGATCAAATCTTGCATTTGTACAGCAAAACCTAAGCTTTTAGTGATTTGCTCTATACCAAGATAGTTTTCTCAAACCAAATTTTCTTGAGTAATATTCCTTGGGTTTGCTTTCCAATACAGACTGATAAAATGTTTAACAATGCTTCTAACTTTTAAGCTATTTTGTTTCCTTAACCTTGTATTTCTGGTGATTTTAAGGTTTCTACAATTTGAAATAGTTTTTAACATCATAAAACAATGGTGATATCATTTCTTTATTACCTTCCCAAAAACGCCTTTTATTTTTATGTACAAGGGCTCTTGGGAATCATTCTCTCAGAGGCTTAAGCTGTGCTTTGCCTTTCATGAGAACTGAAGTTATTTGGTAAGCGCTTGCTTTCTTTTTAGCTTCTAATTTTTCCCTATTTTATTTTGTACATGATATTTGTTTCAAGGTCAAAGGTTCCGTTACAGTTACTATGATGAATCCCAGGGGGAGATTTATAGATCCATTGAACATCTAGATAAAATGGTAAGTCTTTCAGGTGTGGGATTTTAATGCTCTAAGCCTTTTTCTTTAATTTCAGATTAGTAATTCAAGACTTAATATGTTGAAATAATATAATGGACTAATTTTTTTCCCTATCTTTAAATGTACAAAATGCAATGTGTCATCATATACATACTGACTAAAAGAATAATCCCTATTCTTATAGGAATTTCCTTCTTGATAATTTTATTTGATTAATGAGGATATTTGAGAATAATTATATGTGGATTTAAAATACTTTTTAGAGAAGTACCTTAGCTTTAGGGACAGTAGGGTACTAATATTATTATTTACTGTTAAGCAGTAATAACCATAGCAGATGATGAGATAACCTTGACTCTAATTCCTATTTGTTTCATGGCTTTCTGAAATATTTCTTCTGACTCTTTCTGAACAGCATTGTTTCTTACAATTTATTAAATAACTTAGTATATTTTTATTTTTAAGTGATAATGAAGATTTTATGAATTAGCTAATAAAAATTTGTGTTCTTTGGAGGAACTATATGTAACCTATAAATTGTTGCCACTTTACCTCTGGAAATAAAGACATCATAGCCTTACAATGACAGTATACAGGAATTCCAGTGTACATAAAATTTAGCTAACTGAAATCTTGTCTTCTGTGCTGAAGGGATTTATACAAATACTTTATTTTAATTTTTAAAATTTCAGCCTTGTTTATTTTGTTTTGTTAATTTATGTTTATTATTTCCTTGGATCAGCAGTTTGACCTGACAGAGGCATGTTTATTTTGGAACTACTTTTTTTCTTCAAAATTTTAGAAGCTCTCAAAATGATTTAAAATTTAATGGAATTAATATTTAAGCATAAACTCATATCATTGATATATTTCTGTAAAATATCCTGTAAAAATTGTTAGATATAATTCCATTTTTGTTTTGATTTGCATTTCCCATTGCTCTTAAGCATGCATATTAAGACATTTCTTTTTTCCTTTTTTTAAGAGACAGGGTCTCACTCTGTTACCAGGGCTGGAGTACAGTCATACATAGCTCCCTGCAACCTGGAATTCCTGGGCTTATTGCTGCCTCAGCCTCCAGAATAGCTGGGATTATAGGCATATGCCACCATACCCAACTAATATTTATTTTTTTAGAGATAAGGTCTCACTCTATGGCCCAAGCTGGAGTGCAGTGGTGTGATTTCGGCTCAGTGCAGCCTCTAACCCCCTGGCTCAAGTGATGCTCCCACCTCAACCTCCCAAGTAGCTGGGACATAGGCACCTACCACCAACCCCATCTAATTTTTGTATTTTTTGTAAAGGCAGGGTTTCATCATGTTGCCCAGGCTGGTCTCAGACTCCTGAGTGCAGGTGATCTGGCAGCCTCAGGCTCTCAGAAGTCCTGGGATTACAGGCATGTGCCACTGTGCCCAACTGTGTGTGTATATGTGTGTGTGTGTGTGTGTGTGTGTGTGTAGAGAGACAAGGTCTTGCTTTAGTTGCCCGGGCTGATTTTGAACCCTTGCCTTCAAAGAATCCTCCTGCCTCCCAAAGTGCTGGGATTACAGGTGTGAGCCACCACCATTGGCAAATAGTAAGACTTGAACTATATGGGCTGGAGCCTTCAGGTGACTATTAAATAGAGCAATTAAAAAAGCATAAGAAAAAACACTATTTTTACAGATGCAAATTTTTTGTTTGTCCTTTTGCACTTTTTACAAATTTGTAGTTTATTATCTTGTTTTTGGGCCATTTAGATTTTTCTTTTTCTTTTTTTTTTTTTTTAAACAGATCTCACTTTGCCACCTAGGCTGAAGTGTGGTGACACCATCATGGCTCACTGTTGCCTCAACCTCCCAGGCTCAGGCAGTCCTCCCACCTCAGCCTCCTGAGTGGCTGGGAACACAGATGCACACCACCACACCTGGCTAATATTTTTTGGTAATTTTTTGTAGAGATGAAGTTTCGCGTTGTTTCCCATAATGGTCTGGAACTCCTGAGATCAAATGATCTACCCTCCTCAGCCTTCCAAAGTGCTGAGATTACAGGCATGAGCCATAGCACCTGGCCTGGATATTTTTAGTTTTGAGATGGAGTTTTGCTCTTGTTGTCCAGGCTGAAGTGCACTGGCACAATCTTGGCTCTCACCGCACCCTCTGCTTCCCAAGTTCAAGTGATTCTCCTGCCTCAGCCTCCCCAGTAGTGGGATTATAGGTGCACACCACCATGCTCTGCTAATTTTGTATTTTTAGTAGGACAGAGTTTCTCCATGTTGGTCAGGCTGGTCTCGAACTCCTGACCTCAAGTGATCCTCCTGCCTCAGCCTCCCAAAGTGCTGGGATTACAGGTGTGAGCCACTGTGCCAGGCTGGCCTGGATTTTTCTTAAAAAGAGTTTTAATTTATTGTTTTACATATAGAATTTTAATGATAGTTCTCTCTCTCTTTTTTTTTTTAAGAGACCTTCAAAGCTACTAGAAATCAAGAAATATAATTATATTCTTACCTAGCTTAGGAGTATAGTAGATATTGATCCTACTGTCATTGTTATTTCTTGAAGTACTGTGATAGTCATAATATTTCTTTTTTTTCTTTTTTCTTTTTTTCGAGATGAAGTCTCTCTCTGTTGCCCAGGCTGGAGTGCAGTGGCACAATCTCGGCTCACTGCAATCTCAGCCTCCCTGGTCTAAGCAATTCTCTTACTTCAGCCTCCTGAGTAGCTGGGACTACAGTCACCCACCACCATGCCCGGTGAATTTTTTTGCATTTTTAGTAGAGACGGGGTTTCACCATGTTAGCTAGGATGGTTTCGATCTCCTGACCCCGTGATCTGCCTGCCCTGGCCTCCCAAAGTGCTGGGATTACAGGCGTGAGCCAGCACGCCTGGCCTTTTTCTTTTCTTTTTTTTTTTGAGACAGTTTTGCTCTTGTTACCTAGAATGGAGTGCAGTGGCGCTATCTCAGCTCACCGCAACCTCCACCTTCCAGGCTCAAGAGATTCTCCTGCCTCAGCCTCCTGAGTAGCTGGGATTACAGGCATGCGCCACCATGCCCAGCTAATATTTTGTATTTTTAGTAGATAGGGAGTTTCTCCATGTTGGTCAGGCTGGTCTCAAACTTCTGACCTCATGTGGTCTGTCTGCCTCCGCCTCCCAAAGTGTGGGGATTATAGGCATGAGCCACTGTGCCTGGCCGGCCTGGATTTTTCTTAAAAGGAATTTTAATTTGTTGTTCTAAATACAGAATTTTAAAATATAATTATATTCTTATTTAGCTTAGGAGTAGATATTAGTCTTACTGTCTTTTTTTCTAGAAGGGCTATGATAGTCATAGTATTTATTTTTTTTCTTTTCTCTTCTTTCTTTCTTTCTTTTCGTTCTTTCGTTTCTTTCTTTCCAGTGTCTCCCTCTGTCACCCAGGCTGGAGTTGAGTGGCACAGTCACAGCTTACTGTAGCCTCAACCTGCTCGGCATAAAAAAATCTTCCCACCTCAGCCACCCAAGTAGCTGAGACTGTAGGCATGCCACCACCATGCCTGGCTAATTATTTTTATTTTTCAGAGACAGGATTTCGTCATGTTGCCTAAGCCGATGATATTTATTTTAATTTTTTAGATAACACAAACAATTTTGGTATTTACTCATAAACAGTATGCAATATAGCAGAACTATCTCTAACTTGCTCTCTCTGTTGATAGATTATTTTAATACTTTAGTCTTCATTTCTTTATCTGGAAGAAAATAGACTTTGACTAGATGGTCTCCAAATTGTCTTTAAATTCTGTCAGCTTTTAAGTCTGCAGTTTGTTCAGATCAACTCTACCAATGTGTTAAGCCTCATGTATATGTTTTAGTACAAGATTATTTGGTCTAAAGTATATTAAATATTTTAGTAAGGATTCAGGATTTGAATGTGTAAATAGAATATATCATGTCATATATTTTATTAAAGCCAAATGTAATGAATGTGAAGTTGGTTACTTAGTGTGTTTATCATATTCAAATTTACCTTAGTTGCTACTTTATTGTCCAATACTTTTACCTTTCGAATTTTATTTGGATTTTAATGTATTACCTTCTCTTTTGGCTTCTTGATGTTTTCATTTCAGTTGATTAACTCCCTTTGACTTTTAGTTCTAGTCTTTTTATTCTGAGGTTTAGTTCTCAGTTGCCTCAGAAAACTTTTTCTGGCTTTCTCCATATAGCAAATGATTAATGATTGTCAAAGCAAATGGTGAATGGGTATGTGCTATATGTCTGGTACTCTGTGCAGTATCGAAGATACAAAGAAGAGAAAACATAGTCCATGACTTAATGGAAGTTAGAGTCCAGTGGTTGAACACACTTACAAAGAAACCATTACAATGTAGAGAGCTGAGAGACATTTAGGAGGTAGAATGAAAAGGACTTTAGTGATAAATTAGGTATGTCATGTTAAGGGAGTATTCGCATGTGGGATGATTTCTGGGTTCCATGTATATTTAGATGCTGTTACTCATTAATACAGGGAATATAAGAGGGACAGATTTAAGGAAAAAAATGAGCTTAATTTTAGGCATGGCTTTTATGTTATGTTTAGAACTGCATTTTTTGATACCACCAGTCACATATATTTATTGAGTATTTGAAGTGTGGTTATGCAACTTGAGATATGTCATAAGTGTAGAATATACACTGGATTTTGAACATGTAGTATGAAAGGAACAAAACAGATCTCAAAAATAATCTATCTTGATTATATTATAAAATGATACTGCCAGATTGTGTTTAATAAAGTATCTTAAAGTTAATTTTATAAAAATATGGCTATGAGAAATTTTTATTTTTTAAATATGGTTACAAGAAAATTTAAAATTACGTATATGGTCTGCGTTTTACGTGTGTGTGTGTGTGTGTGTGTGTGTGTGTGTGTGTGTGTGTGTATTTAATTTAATTTAATTTAATTTAATTTTTTGAGATAGAGTTTTGCCCTTGCTGCCCAGGCTGGAGTGTAATAGTGCAATCTCGGCTCACCACAACCTC